CTGTATTAAACATAAACTACTTTCAGTGTTGATGTTTCATGTCTTGTTTTACTGAGTCCTGGATGAGAATCTTCAGCAGAGTTTTGCATGATTCAAATAAGACAGAGAATGTTCAATAAGTGGAAAGGTTGGGTAATTTATATTTATAATGTAAAGGTTGGTATGGCTTCATGGATCAGTGCATTTCTTTTTCACTTTTGAATAATTTTAAATAAACTGTTATTGTGTTCAGTTTTTACCTTAATTTAAACCATTTTCAAAAATTTTTAACTTTACCATCTTTATGAACTTTGGCAGTGTCTACATGTTTGTGTTTGTTTAGTTTTCTGAGTGTCATTTTAGATATAAAATATAGTCATTCAAAGCCAGCTTATTAGAATCTGTCCCAAACCCTCTGTATAAATCTTCCCTAAGTTTACAATTCAAAGAACAAGACAAAATGTTGAAACGATTCTCTCTGTTCCTCAGTCAGTTCGGCTCCTGAAACCAAAGGTTGTGCTTTTGAAGCAGAACTTCATGAGTTCTGTTCTGGCCGTCAGGCTGAACAACTGGATGGTTTTCTTCATTGGAACAGCAGATGGACAGCTCATCAAGGTGGGTGGGAAACTAACAACTGGAGGAAAAAAACTGTTTTAGCAAAACAAGTAGCAAACAGAATTTTATGAATCATTTATGAACACCATAACTATGTCACTGTGAAGATGACAGGGTTTAACCTGGACAAACCCCACAGAGGACCAGGGATGTTATTTAAATAGAAACACAATCCAACAAGCTCTTTGTTCTTTAAGAGCGTCTTTCAAATTTGAAAATTATTATGCTAATTGTTATACAGCCTCAGAAAGAGATGATTCAAAATTAAAATAGAATATGCAAATGTCAGATTTCTTTTGGCTTTTTGCATAGGAATTCCATTCAACCCTGTTTCTTTAATACATCCTCTATCTCTAACCTACACTGTTGTTGTTGTCATCAGCTTTCTGTGGACAGGAAGTACCAGCCCTCCTGTCCACAGATCCTCCTCAGAACCAGTGGAGACAACAAAGTGTTTCCAAATCTCCAACTGGATCCAGTGGATCACAAACATCTCTATGTGCCGTTTAAAAACCAGGTAGATTGGAGCTTCTTCATGTGGCGTTCACTTACCCTGCCTGTTGATGTGTTTCTGAAACATGGTGTTCTGCTCCAGGTTCAACGTGTTCCAGTGTCAAACTGCAGAACTTACCAAAATGTGAAGGGTTGTCTTTCTGCCCAGGATCCATTCTGTGTCTGGTGTGTCTCTGAGAAAAGGTCAGAGAAACTTCATCTCAGCTCCATCCTTCATCTCAACTCTATGATGACACATTTACATTTTTCAGCTGCTCATTCAAAGACGACTGCAGAGGTTCAGAGAGGCTGTCCATCCCTGATGAATCCAAGCAGGAAATAGTTTCTCACAGATTTCTGAAGGACTCCACAGGAGAGGTGAGTTATTAATATATTTATGACTGTTTTCATCTGGAACTATTATTATAATAATTTTATATTTGTTCTTTTCTCAGATAAAAATAATCATCCAATCACACCTGACTATGGAGAAGAAGACTCAATCTAACTTCACCTGTAATTTTGCTACAACCTCCACCCAGCTTTGTAAAAAACAAGGACCAAAACCACAGTACCCACAATGCACCTGCATTCTCAATGACCCCATACCTGCTGATGGTCAGTGATGGTCAGGAAGTCTTTAAACATTTTGTTTCAGCTGTTAATGTTCCATACTTTATCTTTGATTTTCAGATCTTGACGTTACCGTGACGATCAGACTTGGAGACACATTTCTGTCAGAACAAATAAAGATGATCAACTGTTCCAGTATCCAGGGGCAACCAAGTTTTCACCTGTAAGTTCATTTATGTTTTAGAATACAGATTTAATAACAGCTGATATCATCATAAAGTCTAACAGTATAAATTAACTCCAGTGTTTTCATAACAACATGGAGGTCTACTCTGCATAAAATCTGAATAATACAAATATTGTAGCTGATATTTAAATCCTTTTGTAGCTGAAAGGAAAAGATTAATGTTGAATCCTGAGAAGCTTCATTCTGCTCAATGTTTCATTAACATGAATGATGCATTATTAGTGCAGCTTGTTGTTTCTAAATGAATCTGTATCAAGTGTTGTAATGTTTGAGTAAAGCTGAGATCAAACTGGCCTGTTTTCTGTCCAGGTGTCAGCGGTGCATCAGAGCAGGATGTGGATGGAGACAGAACAGCTGCTCCTGGACCTCTGATGCAGTCAGCAACGTAATCATGAAATATTTCATGATTTTATGAAATTTAGAGAAGTTTCTTCTCAGGGAGTGCTTGTTAGACATAATTACTCTTCTTTAACATGAATATCTATTGTATTTTTTAACAGTCTGTGTTAAACTGGACTAATGTTGTCTGGAACAACATCATGAAATAAAGTGATAAATTTCACTTCTTTCCTTCTGCAGGACATTTGTACAAACATTGAGCAGTTTGGGAGGAACTTTTCTGTGAGTCAGATTTTTAGTTGATCTGAATTCAGTTGGTTATATTGAAAATAAAACCAACAAGTTATATTTTCAGTATAACTCTTTGGTAATGTGAAACATTTGAATTTTCTGCTCCTTCAGGAACCAGAGATCTTCTCCGTCTCTCCCAGTGTTGTGTCTTTCTATGGCAGAAATCAGGCTGTGCTGTCGGGTCGTAACCTCAGAGATGTGACCAGAGTCAGGATTAAAGCTGACCTGGACTGTGACCCAAAGGAGTGAGTCGTTTTATTTTTTTACTACAGTCATGTGGAAACATTATGTGTCCTTTAAAATACATGTTCACTCATCTTTTAGGGTAAAGAAAGTTATTAAATTTCAGAGAAAACATTGAATGACTTAAAAGTGTGTTTTCTGTCTGAGACGAGGGTTCAGTAACCTTCCTCTCTAATAGCAACTCTTACCTTATGTGGCAGAAAAAGTTACATGTGCAGCCTCTGTCTGATTGGTCAGACATGCATCTTCACATGAACAGCAGCAGGAGCCTGTGGGCCCTGTGGTGACCTTCCTGTTTTAGGAGATTTTTTTAGCATCTTGCAGTCAGTTTTCAGAGTGAATTTGCTGACAGATCACATATTTATTACTTCTTTCATAACTGGTTACTGTATTATGTTTATTGGTGTAAAGAATTATGAGCTGCCTTGTTGCGGAAGTGTGCTATATAAATAAACGTGATTTGACTTGTGATACATTTGATATTAGTTTATAGTTTTCAGTTTCTGTCTCTGTGTTCTCAGATCTCCTGTGTTAAGCAACAATGGCTCCAGTCTGACCTTCCACATTCCCAGCACAGAAGCTAAAGGCCTGGTCAAAGTCTGTGTTCTCCTGCCAGATGGAAGTTGCCACGGCAACTTCACAGTTACTTACCAGACATCACCAGCCTGCACTGATATTACACCAAGCAGCAGCTGGAGAAGGTATCTAAACTTTTTTTTTGCGAAATATATAGATTAACAATTTCCAGCATCTGCAGAGCTCCATGCTCTGATATAATATTAATTAATTTATTAAACCAAAAGTTGATCTGTAGGCCAGGTTAAACTTCACACATCCTGATTTTTTTTTGTTGAACCTCCTTAAACTTTATAAATCACATGTACCCTCTAAAACCAATCTATAACACAGTCTTAGTTTGTGTTCTTGATGAATTTTGTTCTTCATCATTTGACTCCTGACAAACTTGATGTTTGTTGAATCAAGTTCTCAGCTGACCTGATGTTTCGCTGACACTGTGACTTTATAGTGAGTCAGGTGTTCAGAGGTTTCCTTCATGTGTGGAAGTTCATTTGATTATGGAAATTAAGTTTTGACTTTTAATTTTACCAAGCATTTAATTGTTCCCCAACCACAAGATGGATTCTAACAGGTTGTTCTGTTTAAGGAAACCTGCACACTTGATCTTCACAGCATCTCACTGCAATAAACACAAACTTACCAAGTATTTCTGTCTAGTTTATTGTGCAAACATCCCAGTACACTTGAGACAGACATAAGACAAAACTAACTTAAACGTAACTTTTCAGCAAGACATAGGAGTTTGTTTTAAATCAATCTTTAAAAAAAAATCTACCAGTGGAACAAGAACATTTTATCTACATTCAAGAATTACTTAAAACAAGCTTACAGATCTTGCTGAAAAGTAACTTTTACGTTGCTTGTGAATCATTTCCAGTGTAGAAAATATACAGAAATGTTTGGTAGGATGTTGTGTTTTTGTAATGTGCTGACATTTCCTTTCCATTTGGATCTTATTTTTGCTGATCATCAAAGGAATAAATAGATTTCATCTGAATCAACTAAATAATCAGTGGTCATCTGAAAATGTGAACAGTTGAACCCAGCTGATAAGGTTTTTGAACAAACAGACGTGTATTACCCGACTTCCACTTTCATTCCCAACTTGTTCCTTTTTTCAAAAAGGACAATAAAAGCCAAAGACCCCCAATTATTTTGGTTTGACCCCCACTCCCTTGTAACTGGTGTAGTTTACAGAAACTTGTTGAAGCAACTGTTGTAGTAACTATTACATGTGAAAACTGACACTTCCTGAACAACCCATTTCACTTCAACATTACTTCCCCTTTAAATGCAATGACTGAATCCATTAGTGTTACTCTACAGTTTCAGAAACATAATGGGATACTTTGTTGTAAACATACAAATAACAATACCATAAGCATTGGTGTTTTCGTCATTCAGTATTTGCATTGCTAAAAACATGAGTTGAACATTCATGGAATATTTTCTAAATCTGAACAGCTAAATGTATTTTAGCTTTTTATTGTTTGACATACTTATTAATATGTCAGGCAGTATTGCAGCTGATGAAACTCCTGAGGAGGAAGTGAAGCACCATGAGCCCAGTTCTAAATGTAATCGGACAATTTCTTGCATGTCTTCCTCTTCTTGCCTTGGGCCCCTTTCCTGTCTGCCAACTGACAAATGAAAACATGGAGGCCAAAAAATGAGGAATTGAACAAACTACAAGAACTTCAGACCAAAAACTTTAAAGTGTTCTTAAGATATAGAATTTAAGAAATTAAGAAAATACTTATATAAACAAGTTTGACAGCATGAAATGAGCTAAAAGAGCTCAAAAAAACAACACATGTCTTCATGAGTGAGTTAAAGTTCAAACCAAGAGTGACCGGCATTGGTGACTCATCCAGGAAGCTACAAAAGAACCAAGAACAACAAAAATCATTTTGATTCTATAACAAAGACCAGAGTTCTAAGACCAAAATCTCTGCTGGACAGAAATAACATAAAGGTCCATCTTGGATTTGCCAAAAAAAATAAAAAGTCATCTTGATGATTCAAGACTTGTGGAAACTGTTCTGTGGATTGACAAGATGTGGGAGGTGAATGTCAAATTAAATATAGCTTAAAACTAGCAGAACAGTTCAGAGAAAGAATCATATCGACTGTGAAACACGGTGGTGGTAGTGTGATGCTTTGGGAATGTTTTACTGCTTTAGACAGTGAACCAGTTGGTGGAACCAAGAGTTTTGCTTCCTGCTAGACAATCCTGAAGGAGGAGTGCAGTTACTGTTATTCAACAAGACAGTGAAGTGTACAAGCAAAACCACAACTGATTTTACTTCTGGCCTGTTCACAGTCTAGATCTAAATGTGACTGAAATGTTGTGGTGTGACCTTAACCAGGGTGTTCATGTTCAAACATGTTCAAACATGAACACCCTGGTTAAGGTCCTCTTAGTTCTGCTAAGAGGAGCGAGTGAAGTTCAGTTATTACGGCTCACATAGAGCCAGGTTGGTTTGTTTGAAAACCTGAAACATTTAAATGTGACAAAAGCAGAAACAGAATAAATGTATAAAGTATTAAATGCTTTTTCAAACCACTGAATGTAAATAATAATCTACAGTTAGAATCACATGTACTGTGCTGTTAAAAAACTGATCTGTGTCCTCCAGTGGGGGCAGGAAGGTCACTATTTCTGGGACTCACCTGAATTTGGTGGAGGGGATCACACACAGCCCCACCCTGCAGGAAGTCATGCCTCTGATGAGCAGCAGCTATCAGGTAACTCTGCAGACAGAAACTCTGTTATCAGCATACAGTGAACTACATGGTGCTACGTTTTTATTTTCAACAGACTCTCGTCTATAAAACACCTGCAGCCAAAAACCCTCCGGTGTCCAGCAGCAACGTGTTTCTGAAAGTAGCCAATAAAACATTGGAGTGCTCTAAGGAAATAACTTACTATCCTGACCCAGAGTTTACCAGCTTCACAGCAGTGAAGGAGGGGAAAGATGTCCGCATCACTATTCAGGTACGGCAGGTTCTGTCCACATTTGTTCACTCAGACATGTTGATGTTATTATTGAAGGGGAAACTGGTTTTGTTCTTTCAGAAAAAGGCAGACAAGCTGCAGATTACAGAAGCAGAGCTGTTGGTTGTGGGAATTCAGAATGAAGTTGAACATTCCTGCATCATAATACCTGAAGAAATCAACAAAATGACAGAAACCTTCATCTGTGAGATCAAAGACCTGCAAAGCTCTGACATTGATATGATCAAGGTAAATCCTAAATTTATAATAGTATAGGTTTAATAATTTGAAGTGCTGTTGAAATCCTGTGTTTTTAGCTGTAACTAGACCAGCCTTTCCCCAGCAGTTTCTCACATTACTTGGTTAAGAAGAAACAAAAAACAGAACAGAACATGTTAATGGAAGCAGATAAACTAAAATGACTATAGTGTTGTATAAAAACAAAGGCTACAGAAACTGAAGCCAGGAGCAAGAAAACTGGACAATGCAGAAAATAAAGTCGAACCAGGAACAGATAAAGAAACAGAACAGGAGCCGTGAGTTTGACCACATAACCAGCAGGATGTAGGAAAACTGCAGAGCTTTGGCTGATCAAAGAACAAAACCAGGAGTTACAAAGTACAAAGCTGGTCCAAATTGGTCTGTGGTCTTCATGCAAAAACACAAAATGGATTGAATTTAAAAAAGGAAAATTTTTAACTGGCGTAGTCAAAGTTTGGCACAACCAGTTATTTGTGTTCCTTATGATTTTATTTTAAAATTTGAAAATGACAAAAACACTAGATGAGATTCTTCTAGAATCAAATCCAGTGTCTTTATGTTATAAGAATGTCTCTGTAGCATTCATTCAACCTGTTAGCTTGATCTGTCTGGTGGCTCATTGTGACTCTTTATGCTTTATGTGATGGATGCTTTAGAAAGCGTTTTGGCTTGATAACAGTTTCAGCATTAGTTAAAGCTGTACCACCTGTTTATTCTATGAACTACTGGGTAACATTTATTTGAAGGGGTGTACATAAAACTGACATGAGACTGTCATAAACATGACATGACACCTGCAGGGTTTCCCTCAGTGTATTATCAGCCTGGCGGGCCACCAGGCTGTACTTGTGCCCCTACCAGGCTTAGGATTGTTCATTTATTTTAGTTATTTTTTAATGATTGCTTTTTTAAAGACTTTATAGTTGGTGTTTAGGTATTAATCTGCCAGTCTTCCAATAATGCATATCTATCAAGTGATGTTTTCAAATTTCATGTCAATTATAAACATGTTTTATCTCAAAAACATGGTGGGCAGCTGGATGAATGACTGCCCGACAGTTTCATGTCAGTCTTATGCGTACAATCCTTCAATAAAGTGTTACCAACTATTGTGATTATGGTCTGTTACAGGTAACATATGGAGATGAATCTATAACACTGAACGCATCATCTCGACGTTATTTTTTAATACTGCTCATCATACTCCTGATCCCCATCACCCTGGTTGGTAAGTGTACCGTGGTTTTGACCTCCACCAACAACATGCTGGATATTTCTCTTTACATGTCGGCTCGTTCATTTCAGTGGTGTTTGTCGTCTACCGAAGACAACGGGAACAGCTCACCGTTAGGATGAACAAGTTGATGGAAAACCTGGAGTGTGACATTAGGAATGACATCAGACAAGGTCAGTCCTTATTTCTGAGTCTGGTAATAGGTTTGTTTTGTTCTCTGTTACCTGCTGCATTCATCAGGGCTTAATGTGTATTAATCTGATCCTAAACACGTCCTACGCTGAGGTCAATTAGTTTGACTCAGCATTGCCAATGGTGGATTAGGTTCTAAGCAATAGCTTAATTTGTTCAACATGTTGAAGTGACCCAGTCATAGAAGCAACCCTGGCCTTCCTCTTCATGAGGTTGTCATAGAAACAGTGCCTTCAGTCAGAGACATTTTCAGTTTGCTGTAATACTGACTGCTACGAGAGATTCTTCCTTCCCACGGCCATTACCATCTATAATAACTCCTTAGAGAATCTCAAATAATTTGAGTTGCAGCAACATTTAGTTTCCCTTTGGGATCAATAAAGCATTTATAATTTGAATTGGTTGAGAATCTGTGGACGCAGCTGAAGGTGTGTGAAGGCTGTTATGTCTCTAAAGATTGTTCCACTGAATTTTTATATAATGTAAATGAAAGCAAATCATATTCATAATCACTGACTGTTTTATTATCTCTTAAAAGATCCCCATCTCATTTCCTATCAGAAACAAACTTCCTGCTAGTAAAGCCAATATAACATCCTGATGTCCTTAGAGTGGATTTGTTGTTGTTGTTGTTGGCTTAAATCTTTTCCAAAACAGAACTTTAGGTGAATTATATTTGTCTCTCAGATGATTCATGAGCCTAACTGAGTGAAATAGATGCAGCTAAATATTAATATTTGCTGTTTGTTTTCACCTTCCATGGAGACGTTGTGTTCATGTTGTTCTGGTTCAATGAGAACAGAAATAAATCATATATTAAAGTTTTTCATGTTAATACAGGTTCTGTGTGACATGCTGCCCCTCCAGTGACAGAGAACTGGCTTCTGTTTAGAGCTGATGATGAAACATTTACACACTTTGTCCCTTTTCAACCACTTCGCTTTCAACTCTTCTACCTCCCTGGGCGTCTAACACAAACTCAGTTCCTTTTTGAAGCGCTTCCTTTTTTCACAAGTTGAAAATTGTTGCTCCAGTTGACCTGACGGTAAACGGAAGCCATTTTCAGAAACCCATGCTTGACTGCAGCTTTTGCTGAGCTACTCAGATATAGTATCAATAAACTTTGTGATGTTGCAAACTGATTGTTGCGTTTCCGCGTTACCAGCTGATAAGAACAAGAAATGTTAGCCGTGTTGTGAGTTGTTAGTGTTGCCTTTCCTCCACTGTGTGTTTCCTTCACAGGATTCATAGATCTGCAGACAGAAAAGGCTGACCTGATGGAAAACGTCGGAGCCATTCCTTTCCTGGACTACAAGCACTTTGCTTCCAGAACCTTCTTCCCTGAGGTGAAACCAAGCCGTGTGCTGCAACACCAATCACACTGATACCCTGCGGATATATAACAGTTACCTTCTGTTTTCCAGAGTGATTCTTTAATTAAGCTGTGCATCAAAGACATTGGTCAGGTAAGCATGGATGGCAGCTGCGGCTCTTTTTTGATGCTCTCACACAGCGTCAGTGACGTTTGTTGTTGTCTGATCCGGAATCAGGACGTGGAGAAGGTGGAGCTGGATCAGCACTGCCAGAAGTTCTCCAGGCTGATCCAGGACCAGCTGTTTCTCACCACCATGGTGCACGCGCTAGAGGAGCAGAAAAGCTTCACCGTCAAAGACAAGTAAATCTGATGACCGGATGAACAAACGGAACGCTTATCACTGCAAAACACATCAAATCTTACCAGGAAGTTTCTGTTTCTTGTGCTTGAAATAAGACAAAACTAACATAAAAGTAACATTTGTGGAAGATATAGTAGCTGGTTTTGAGTCAATAATTCCTTAAAGGTCTAGTATGTAATTTTTATTAAAAAATAAATAAAAAAATTTAAAAAAAAACACACGCACAAAAATGTTTTTTGGAAACAGGTAAAACAGATAATCCATGAAAAGATTGATCTCCACATCCTCCTGAGCTACTATTACCGTCTGAAGAAATGCACCAGTCCCGACAAAAAACAACCAATCAGAGCCAGGAGGAGGGGCTTAGCGCTGTCAATCATCCTCATGTATACGCTGAGCTGGGCCACATGAGATTGTAATTGGCAGCAGTAAGATACTTTTTATCTATACTCAAGCATTATTCACTTAAAACCAGCTCCTATAACTTGCAGGAAAGTTCCTTGTGAGTTACTTTTTATCTTATTTGAACTAAAAACTAAACAAAAAAATACTTGGTAAGGTTTGTGTTTCTGCAGTGGACAGTTCAGTTAACGTCTCTCTCCTTCAGGTGCACACTTGCGTCTCTGCTCACCGTGGCGCTTCACGGCAACCTGTCGTACCTGACGGAGGTGATGGAGGTCCTGCTGAAGGACCTGATGCAGAAGAACAGCGCCGCCGCTCAGCCCAAACTGCTGCTGAGGCGCACTGAGTCCACGGTGGAGAAGCTGCTGACCAACTGGGTGTCGGTCTGCCTCTACGGCTTCCTGCGGGTCGGTTCAAGAAAACTGTCTGACCGGTCTGATTGTTCCTGTGTAGCTAGTCAGAGACAGTGAAGCTGCTATGATCCCAGTCTGATGATTCTCACTCATTTATCTCCATCTACGAGTTTTGATGCACATCTGATGGTTTCTGTTGTTAAGATGTAAAATAATGAACATTGATCAGTGCAGACGCCTTCGGTTCAGACAGTTTTTACAAGCATGGGAAAAGAAATACTGAGAAACTCTGAATGTTTTTTCTTTACCCAGAAGTGCAACTTAAAACATTTTTAAAAAACTACTTCCCTTACCTATAGGAAACGTGACTATGGCTACGGACAGTTATCAGAGGGGACATAAAATTAGTGCATTGTTCAGAATCTTTATCTCGTATCGTAAATTCTGTGAAAACTGCCTTGTCTGGCACACAGAGCTGCTAAAATGTCCCCATTCAATACAGATTGTCTCTGTTTCTGCTTGTTTGTCACACTTCACAGTGAAGTGTGACATTGTGTGATATTAAAGCACATTTTTATATCACATAATGATAACTTAAGTAAATATAAAATAACAATTTAATTTATTTAAAGATGAATCTATCCAGACCAAACTGGACGCCCTGGGAAAAAATATTCTGTCAAAATGAATGCAGAGCAACATCTAAAGCCCTTTGTCTCACTTACCTCAGTTAAGGTCGGCGGTCATGACTTGGCAGTAAGAAAGAGAAGTGACAAAATGGCATCGGATCTAATGCCAAAACCACCACAAGAGATCACATCGTTCTGCCTCACTAAGTCATGTTTACAATCACAAAGACCTTTTAGAAAGTTATCTGTGAACTAATCTGAACATTTTGGGAGGTGTGTGTCCTGTTACACTTTAGAAATGCAAAACAAAAAAAAAGGAAGAAAGAAAAGAAGATTTTGGAGTGGCCTAGTTAAAGTCTGGGTGTTGATGCTTGAAAACCTCCCAGTGTGGCCAAAATAAACTAATTCTGGAAAGAGAAACGGTCTAAAACTCTTCCACAGTGATGTAAAAGATTCACCACCTGTTAGCAGCAGCGCTTAGCAGCTGCTGTTACCAGGGTGACAACCAGATTCAAGGGTGACGACCAAATAGCAGTCAGAGGAGCCATTTCCTCTTTCACATATGTAGCGCCAGTTGGTTTGGTTCACTCTTAATAATTATTATTTGAGCACAGCTTTTTCTATTTACTCAGGTCATCTTTGATATTAAAATATGATTTGATATTAACTTTTTCAGATAAACAAGTGCAAAAAACCACACAGCTTATCACAGCTATATATGTATTTATTAAGATGCCTCTAAGCTGGATGCTAATTGTGGCTGATTATATTCTAAGCCAAGCTTTTTCTGTAACCACAGGAACCACGTGCAACAAGAAGCTCAAAGTAAACTCGAGCCTACACAAACCTGATGTGCGTAAGTTAGTCAGCTGCTGATGTTCTTATTTTATTTTTATCTCTGGTGTTGTGCAGGAAAGTGTCGGGCAGCATCTGTTCCTGTTGGTGAGCGCGCTCACACATCAGATCTCCAAAGGGCCGGTGGACTGCGTGACGGAGAAAGCTCTGTACACACTCAGCGAGGACTGGCTGCTGTGGCAGGCTCAGGACTTCAGCCAGCTGGTACACACACACACACACACACACATACCAAGATTCTTATAGTTAACTGAAACTAACAAAATAACAAAAGCTGAAATTGAGAAACCATTTTTAACTGAAATAAATAATGTTTATTTAGTAGCTTTTTGAACTGATGTGAAATTTTTTATGAAAAAAACTTATATTACAAGTTATAAAAACTAAACTAAAACTAAACAATATAATAACTAATAAAAAAGTAGAAAACACTTTGACAAAAAGTCACAGCGAAATTAAACTAAACTGTAATGGAAAACCCAAAACTATTTTAAGAGGTATTTCTATGTCTGCATGGCCTGATGGTTCATGCTAAAACTCTGCATGGTTCTCAACACGCCCCACAAACCAACGCTTCCTAATTCTCTGTTGTTTTGGTTTCTATGGTTTAGTTAAAACAGAACTACAGAGTCTAGATCGAAAACTGTCTTAACAACCAAACATTTTCAAATAGACTCATTTTACACTTTTGTTTGTCTTTTTTCTTTTTACCAAGTGTTAATTTTTATTATTGTAAAGTTATTAAGGTTTCAGTATAATCACTGAAGTGAATGCATCTATGGAACTAAGTCAACTTATTTGTAGGAACAGGAACTGATAACTAACTTCCTCTCTTTCCTTTGAACATGCATAGCACAACAAATTTACTCCCATTTACCATTAAAAAATCGGCAGATCCATCAGAAAACATCTCAAATGTTTGGAAAAGTAGAAAATCAAACTACAGACTTGATAAGGCCATATTATGAGATGTTTGAAGTGTGATAAAATGCTCAGTTTGCTGGTAAAAGTGGTGTTTTACACATTTAGCAGCTCTCTGATTGGTAAACTGATAGCATTGAATAAACTGCATTAAGTGTTAAATAGTTCAGTGATTTATCATTCAGAACACAGCTGTCAGTAAATGTGTGGTTAGTTGCATCAAATCAGTGATCAGTGATAACATCAGATGTGCAGTTGCACTATTTTTCTATAGTTTGACTGATCCTCTGTCTTTATAGTCAGGAGCAACTTGTATGTTTTACAAGTCACTCTTGATCATCATCTACAACCAGATGGTGATGGTTGCAGATAGTGACCATCTGCAAACAGCTAGAGGACCACAGGAGGAATGGAAATGATTTTGCAGACGGGCCGTCTTGCCGTTATTGCAACACGCACCACAACCGCCTCTCTCTCACCCCAGGTTTACTGCATGCGACTCCGCTTCGCGCCGCCCTGTTGCACACTTCGCTGGTGGAGCAGAGTCATTCCAGACATTGGAGTATCAGAAACTGCCAGCAGACTTCCAAGCTAAAGTTGATAGATTCCCTGAGTTTGTTGAAAAGCAACTGAACTCAGTATGTCACCAGATCATTTCATTAACATGGAAGAGATCCCACTCACATTTAACAATTTCTAAATAAACAGAACTTAAAGTCTTGAAAAACACTTTAACATTTATTTAGTGTTTTATTATTCCAATCCATTTGGGCGCAATCTTGAAGGTTTGCATTGGACCGGTGGGCTGCCATTCTCCTCCAGGATTTTCAGAATATGTCGTCGTGATAATTGAGAAATGATCCAGATTGCAGAAGCAGACCCAGACCATCACCCTACCACCACCATGTTTTATGTTCAGTTTGTCATTTTCTGGATGTCGTTAGTTTTAAAGCAGATGCAACAGGAAGCAGATCTTCCTAAAGCTTTTACTTTTGTTCTGAAGGGGTTTTGGTCTTAGAATTCTATTCATGATTGGAGAGATTTATACGTTCACATATGACCAGGTGGGTGAGGATAGGAGGTTTTTTCCCCTTAATAAATAGCCATTATTGGAAAAGTGTATCTTATGTTTTTGTTCAGGTTATCAACATAAAAATTACTTGAAAACACAAAAGTATGACAAAAAAAAGGAGCAAAAACGTATAGATTTGACATGTGATTGTGATTGATCAATGATTCTTTATTATGCAGGCATAGAAAAAGATGAATGAGAAGTTATGTGTGTTTGCACCTCCAGAAGCTGAAGGTGCTGTTCGCAGTGGGCAGTGATGGAGAGGTGAGCGAGCCTCTGGAGGTGGACGCCCTCAGCTGCGACACCGTGGAGCAGCTCAAAGAGAAGATCCTCAACACCTTCAAAACCAAGTTTGGCTTCGCGTATAACACCTCGATCAGAGATGTCAATGTTGGTGAGTGAAACTGGCACTAATGTGCTGCAGCCTGCAGGATTCACACACAGGGTCCTTCACAGGAAGAACAAAGGAGCAGATAAAAGACCTGATGCACCAAAAACAATGACACACGACATAAACCACAAACAAAAAGGAATGACAATTTTAGGAAAATTTATAGAACTTTGTGGTTCAGATGTAGTAAAGTTGGGGGGGTGCAGGGTTCAAGCACAACCCACACATGGAGACCTTAGTCCTTGACACAGCCATCACCACTAGAGCCAAAATAAACCTTAAAGCGATGGGGTCTTTAATAAACTGAGGGCTGTACATGGTTCATACCAGACCACCAACTCTGAAATGTATTTAGACCCAAGAAAATGAAAATATTCACCTGTTTATTGTTGTCCTCTTGACTACCACAGTATGGGCCAAGTGATGTCAAAAGCAGTATGTCATCAGTCCAGATACTGCAGGGGAAGTTGTAATACTTCACAAAATGAGTTAACAGTGTGATGATTAAAATTAGCCCAAGGACGGAGCCTTGAGGTTCTCCACATGGTGTGATCTGTTCACCATAACCTAACAACACAAACTGGTTCTGATCTGTGAAGTAAGATGTGAACCAGGTCAGCACAGAGTCAGACAGTCTGGCCCACTTGGAACCACCAGATTATCAGAGCATCCAGATTATGTCATTAAATGCGTTTTAATCTCTGCAGTTGTCCTGTGGAAAGTGAAGAATCTAAATCTATAAGATTTCAGGTGCAACACAGATGAAGACTTTTTTAAAGAAACTTGTAGGATCCATGTAAGGTGAGCAGGTTGGGTTTCTATCAGATCCAAGATTCAATGGATTAAAGAAAACAACTATTTACCAGTGCTGGAGCAACCTGCTTCTGGTCTTGTTCTCTGGATTGTGTCATTGCTAGATCTATTGATAAATGTTTTGAGAAACACTTTGTTTTAAAAACAACCTGCTAAAATTAGAGGTGCACAGATAAATCAGCCCAGATTTCCTTCATCTGCTCTTATTTACCTCTGCAGAGGCCTTGAAATCAGCCTCTGCCCGTTTTGCTTTGCTTTGTCATGTGAGCCGTTAACGACAGTCACCCATCTGCTGCCAACTCAGCAACTTTGTTGCTACATTTAGCAACTTTTCAGACAAAACCGGAATCAGCAGGTCAGGCTTCTTACAGAGTGTCGACTGGTCAGAAAACTGCAACCAGTTCATCCTCAGTTAAAATGCTGAAATAAGTACAGAAGAAAACCAGTTCATTCTTTTCATAACAGGGTCATCAGTTTACCCACTGAGCCAATATCACCAGAATCATTTAAACTACGACGCTGGTATCTGTGACAGAAGACCAAACTTTGTGTTTTATTTTTATTCCGCTCTTCAGCAAATATCCCTTTTCTTCCTGTTTGAGTAATTTAGCAACTTTTCCTCTGTGTTAGGAAACGCTCTCTTTTCTAGAAATAAACCACACTGTGGTTAAGGTCCCCTTCCTGCAGTGACCTGTGGCCGGAAGGCAAACGTGTTGATACTTTGTTTTGAAACTAAAATATCTAAATTAATAAGGTTTTTTGTCCTGTATTCTACCAGAGTACGAGAGGGATGGATCATTTCTTCCTCTTCAGGAGGTGGACAGAGGCTCCGAGGTGATCGGGGACGTGACGAAGCTAAACACACTCAGGCATTACAAGGTGAGAACAAAGACGACTTCAGTTCAGTCTTACTTCAGTCATCAAGTAGGAGGATGGACACGTCTGCATGTGGGCTGTGGCTCCAGACTTCTATTAAGTGCAGCGAATGCAGGTCGTGTTGCAGCGCTGAGTCAGTGCTGGTTGACAGAGTCCGGTTAGTTAAAGCAGAACACACATAGTCTATAACAGGGAGCAAATTTCCGTAACTTTAAAATGTTACGGAAAGTTCATTTAAACCATCATCAAATTTGTCTGAGCAGAAAGTCTTGCATTAAGGTGAGCAGAAGGAGCTATTCTTGAGCGCGCTCACTCAGTTTCACTTCCACTTTCTTTCAAACTCTCGGCCCAGTTTACACAGAATGAAACTATTTGTCCTCCGAGCCAACAGCATGGTACAGAGAGGAAATGGAAAAATCCCATCATCTTTTTGTCATCGCATCCAGAAAGGGTCAAGCTGTTTATCTAAAAGAAAATAATAATAATAATAAAGGCAAATGGATGAGAAGAAAGTGTCTCCTAATGGCTTCTAATGGGTTCAGGGGCAGGGCCGGCCCAAGGCAGAAGCAAACTAAGCAGCCACTTAGGGCCCCATGGAGACTTGGGGCGGCCCTGATCAGGGGTCACCGTCTGTGTGGGGAAGATGCTCTCAAGACGTCACGGCCTCAAGACCTGGGCTGACTCACTCATGTGGCTTTTGTTCACATGATTAACCAAGGAAACAACAATGGATGTGCACATTTCCTTTTGCCTGTAAACATAATAATACATTTTGCTTTTTTCACACCACCAATAGTTCACCCAGTGCTAATATTTAGGTATAAGTAGAAAATAGGGTTCAGATATAAGTTTATACATCTGTCTGTTGTTTTTCATTCAGAATTTCTTTTAGTTGTTCCATGAACTATTGGTGTTTAGAACTGAGTGAATAAAATAAAAAAGAAAATGGAGATTGAATATTTCTTTTATACACAGCTGCAATAAAAAAACAGTTAATATTTGTATGGCCACTCTGGGAACTCAGAGCTTTAAGTGCATGAGAAATAAAGCAGCTAAAATAACACCCAGCTTCCTGAAGCAGTGGAACAAACCGTGTTTGTTGTTGGCAAACACACATTCTTCCAAGTCATGATATTCGACATCTACTTCATGTCCCCTCGTTTGGACCCGTATGAGATGTTTCTCGGCTCACCACCACATGTAGCAAGATAAGTAACGCGTCTGACAACAGCTTATCTGATTTTGACTAAACTGGAAACTCAGAGTAGCAGAATATGGTGTCATGTTTATGTGATTGCAGAGTAAAAAAGATGGTTTTCAGTTTTGATTCATCAGTGAAAATAGAAAAACCAACCAGGTTTCAGTCTTTAGCCGCTTCAGAGGCGTTTTCTGTTTCCAATCACCGGCCAGCTGATTGGTTGAGTCTGTTGTGGTTGTGCTTTTCCATGTGTAACATATTGAGTTTGCTCTGCTTTAGGTTAATGATGGGGCCACCATAAAAGTGCTGTCAAAGAAAACTCATCCTCCACTCAGTGCACAGGGGAGTGTGAAAGGTAAGAACTAAGTTTCTGTCATGGCTTCGCTTTCAGCCACGGAAAGCATCTGTGGCAGATTCATGTCGCATGTTTTTATACCTTTGAACCTCTGAGGTGTGAACATCATCATCTCTGATGTTCTAAATTTAATGTTTCTTCTGAGGTAAAGGCCTCCTCCTCACAACAAACAGTAGCTACAATAAATGTCTGCTAAAATCGACTCTTTAGAATCTAAAGAATCATAAAGTCTGCTGACCTCTGACCTGATAAACCTCAGTGGATCACAGCTGATGACTGAGATCCAGACTGAAGTTTCCACCGTCCATTCTGACTTCAGTCCATTCTGACTGAAGTCACACACAACTTAAATTCTTCCTTCAGACTCTGGAACCTCGACTTCCAAATCAAATAAAAT